CCTTTTTTTAGCGTGTGTCTGAGTGGGGCCTCTACTTACTTAAAGGTCCTATTTACAAGCCAGAGTGCACCTGAGGAGTAGACTTTAAGGGTGCGTTTCTTTACTAAAATCCAGGATCAGATCAAAAATCTGGATTGTTAGGATTTTTTGTCAAGAAAAGAAACAATGTAGCCTAAAAAGGATTATTTTTCACTCATTTCGCTCTGGTGGTATCCTTCAGAAAGAATAACACGGCTGATGATAATGTTGCAAATTTGCTGATCTTTCATTGTATTCTGGACTGTTAGCTGGATACTGCTTGAAGATGAGTCTTGAAATAAGATATCTACTGGAAAAGTAAAATGTTGCAAGATGTGCCAGTGAAGTTGTGTAGCAGTTTTGTCTCGATTTTTCCTCGTCTAGAACAATGCAGCTACACACCTTTTCTTTCCTTTTTTCTCTTCTTTTCTTTATTTCTTTAAAAAATTTAATCCAAATTTTCATTCAGTACCCTTAACTTGCATGGTTTACCCAGCCTATAGTTCCAGGAAGCCTATAGTTTATAAGCCCTCAGCTTCTAGGCTTTCTTGCCATTACCACTTTAAACATTTGATCTTGTAAATAATTTAGTTAGAATATTGTATATTATCTTTAATGTAATATAAATTTCTGTATACTGTTGTTGTATTTCTGGTTAGTGGCAAAAATAAATGAATGAATGAATGAATTGTCATGTTTAGGTGCTACATGATAGTTTTACAGTGTAATGGACCATTGGTTTGTGGTCATTTTGAAGAGATATTTTAGTGCATTTTAAAATGCGAGAGTATGTTACCACTGAGTAAATTTGTCTCTGATTTCTCTTCTGACTTATGTGAATGAAGATCCATGAAGTTGTTATTATATAAAGTTTATAAAGTGGTCATTTCGATGAGTTATTTTAGTGCATTTTGAAATGCGAGACTATGTTACCACTGAGTAAATTTATTCTGAGTCTGAGTAAATCTCCGAGTAAATTTATTCTGACTTATGTGAATGAAGATCCATGAAATTGTCATTGTATAAAGTTTTCTTTTCTGTTATTAAAGTGTACATATCAGAATGCTATTACAACACAGTTTATGTTAGTGTTAATTTTCATAAACATGTACCTTCTCTTTGTTTTAAGGGAGCTATTTGTGATTTTTGTGAAGCATTTATCTGTCATAGCAAAAAGTGCCTTACAACACATGCATGTGAATGTGCTCTCAGAGATGGTGACTGCATTGAATGTGAACGAGGAGTCTGGGATCATGGTATATTGTATTTTAATGTCTTTAAATGAGATTAAGGCTAAGTTAAACTTGAGACAGTGCTGGCCAGCAGTCTTTCAAGCAATATTATTGGGGGTGCTCTGGAAGCTTCAAAGTCAGGCCGATGGGTTTTCACAGCTTCTCTTTTTAGGTCAGGCTATAAAGTTCATATTTCTGCTCTTTGCGTGTGCCTGTAGTAATTTTTCATATAAACCATCAGCAGTGTAGCCTGTTAGCAGGGGCACATGTGCTAAGGCCTGTTTACATGGAGGTGAGGGACCCCAGATAGGTGAGGTAATATGTGGCAGGTCAACCCACCTATCATGTAACATGATCAAATTAAAATGAGAGATTGTAAGGACAGGCAGCTTACCTCACCTACCTGGGGCTCCCCTCTTCCATGTAAACAGGCCCTTAGTTTGGGAAAAATTTTAGTGCAGAGCACCAGTGTGAGCCCTGTTCTTCTTGCCAGGCTCGCCAGTTTGCGCTGGCAGTTCTGCCACCAAACTTTTTGCCGAACTCGTAATAGTTAATGAGCCATCTCACAGGCTATCAGCGGTACTGTATGGTATGGACACAATTTAGGCTGCAGATCCAAGTTTTATCTTTATAGAGCTGAAACATGGGGAACTTGGGTGGCGCAGTGGTGTGAGCACTCGCCTCCCACCAATGTGGCCTGGGTTTGAATCCTGGCGTTGATGCCATATGTGGGTTGAGTTAGTTGTTGGTTCTCTCCCTTGCTCTGAGTGGTTTTTCTACGGGTACTCTAGTTTTCCCCTCTCCTCCAAAAGCAACACTTCCAAATTCCAATTCAATCTGAAACGCATGGACACATTTCAACGAGTTCTCATGAACTCCTAGGTGCTCCGTAAGTAAAAAAAATAACAATTCCAGTTACAGAGATATTTATGGAACTGGCACTGAAAGAAATGCCCATAACAGTAAGATCTGTCTTAGGGGTGTACCTCCTTATAGAGGTGAAAATAATAAAAAACAATGAGATTTGGAAATAATGAAAATATTTATTTGTTCACAGGTGGACGCCTCTTCATTTGTTCATATTGCGAATCTTTCTTGTGCGAAGATGATCAGTTTGAACATCAAGCTAAGTGCCAAGTACTGGAGTCTGAAACATTAAAGTGTAAGTTTTTTTTAGGAAATTCCAAGGTTGCTTTTCACTCGACCACTTTGTGCCCAGTTTCAATTACTGGAAACTCTTTCCCACCTTAACCATTTTGTCACTTTAGGTCTCTCAGAATTGCTGCCTGGTTCTTAGGCTATCCCCTTTTTCTTTTCGTTAAGCGTTGAATGCAATTCCTGATATTAGGTCGGTCGGTTGGATTGAAAAAAAACCTAAAAAAAAATCACAAGAAGTCTCGGAATAGGAGGCCCTGGTACCCTGGAACGACGTTAAAAGTTAACTTTCACATAATAGGATTAACAAAATGTACAATTTGCTTTAAGAAATGTTCCTGTTTTTCTCTATCCTGTTACTATGATCATTTTTCAGATAGATTAAAAGAATTATTCCTAGTGAAAAATGGTTTAACTATGTCATTACTTTTTTTTTTTTTGAAAATGCCAAAAATTTGGGTCGGTTGGATGATGCTAAACGGAAGAAAAAAAAAAGAGGATGGCCTTAGCTGGGTCTTAGCTTAATGGGATAGAGCGGTTTTCATTTGAGTGTCGAAAAGTAATTGGTTTTGCACTTTCTACACGATGCGATTGGCTTAAAAGATTCGCTCCACCTTTTAATCCAATCAGAAGTAAAACCAAAGCCAATTGTGACGCGCTCGCATGCATTTTCCCGCGCTTTGCGTCAGCCACATGTAATTACTTCGAGTTTTGATTGGTTCAATGTATTGTCTGTGTCCTATGTGATTGGCCAGAGTAATTACTTTGGTTTTGGTTTTACGACACTCAAACGAAAACCACTCTAAGTGCCAGTCGGTTGAGTGGGAGGCCATGAGTTCAAACCCCAGCTGGTCACCAGCGCTCAGGGTCTTTAAATAACTTGCAGAAAGTCGGTGCTGCCTTGTAATCATGTCAGCAAAATTTGGTTAGACTTTCTTGTCTTCTCAGATAAGGATGATCAATCTGTGGGCCCCTTCTCACATATGAAAGTTCTATGAGATGTTAAAGAACACACACACTGTCGAGAAGGATTCAGGGAACCATTGTTGGCCGTTTTTACCCTCCCATGATTTTGATTTTGATTTTTGCCTGGGACTAGTTAGGGAAAATCTGGTTACAAGGCTAAAAATATGCCTTGAAATTAGTAAACATGAATAGTGGGATCGTGATTTGTTGAAAGCTAACGAAAAAAAGCTCCGCAGAGTCACCAACGTTTATATAGTGGTGGTTTTGGTGGTGGGGGACAGTTTCATTGGTGTGATTCACCATACACGGAGAAACGTCTGTAAAATTTTTTGACTTTGTTTAAAGATATCTTAGCTCAATTTTAATTTATCACCTTTAAACTTGGTACGTTTCTAGTAGTGTCAAAGGATATTCACTAATTATCTTTTTGAAACGTTTATGAGCAAATGAGTGCATGTTATTCAGTGTTAGGTGCTTAAACTAGAGAAGCTCAGGATGAAGGCCACTTCGGTCGATATACCTAGAATTAAGTTTACTCTAGCTTTGGTACCAACTGAAGAGATTGAATAGAGATTGGTGGTGCGAGTGATTTGATTGTCTGCAATCATAGCTCTTTTTTCCTGAAGTACCCTTTGAGATTTTTTAGGTCTTACTGGTTTTTCTATGTTCTTTTTTCTTTAGGTGGTTCCTGTAACAAATTAGGTCAATATTCATGTCTTAAGTGCAAGGTAAGCATCGCTTGCAAGTTGCAGTTAACTAAAACTATACTAGCAATGCATGAGAAAGGAAATTGAATCCCTCTGGAACGAAGAGTGAATTCAAGAAGATACAGTTAAAGTCGACACTTAAGTTCAAAGGTATGCCTAGGCTCTTCATATTTAATGAATTTAACTATCCTTAGCAAATAAGTACGCGGTGCAAAGTATCAAATTTTGTTCTCTTTAATTATTATTACGGCTAGTTTTTCTTATTTTTCTTTCTCTAATTCCACTTCACCTCCCGTCTTGATAAGCTTAACCCTTTAAGTTAGGATCAAAACGTGGTTAGGAACTGTGTAGCGCTGATAAGTTGATTACAATTAAAATTTGTCTTGTGTTCTTAGCGTTAAAATGTTTGAAAATCCAGACGTTTCGGTACTACTGTCCCTTCATCAGTGGAAGATGCCGTTACACTGAACGCGCGTCATTTTATTCAAATGTGGCAACATTTGAGGAGCGCGCTGGAAGAGTTCGCTCAAATAAAATTGAAGTCAACGTTTATACCGCGCGGCTGAGGAGTTTTGCATTTAAAAATTAGGCGGCCCTCCGCTTTACGTCTGTCCCTGGTGTTGTGAAGTCCCGCTCGCACAACAGCTACCATCATATCATCTGTTGTGTAACCGGGGGAGGAAAAATGTTTAGCAACGGGTAGGTCGGCTTTCTTTGAGACAGATCTGAGGTGTTCGCAGAACCTGTCCCCAAGCCTACGTCCGGTTTCGCCAACGTACGACAGAGTGCATGCCCGACAAGTTATGATATACACGAGGTTACTTGTCGTGCATGAGAACCCCTGCCGTATGGTCAGAGGTTCACCGGGGGTGTTGATCTGGGGGCTGGGTTGGTATGGGCACAGGTCTTGCATCGTGGACGACGGCAGGGAAAAGTTCCATTTGGTTCATCCTCAGTGTTTGCGCCCGATTGAAGGTTGCTGCTGACCAAGGAATCACGCAGGTTGGGGTCGCGAGTAACCCTTCAAGCCCTAATAGTGATCAGCATCAAATTTCTCCTTGGAATATCAACCTTTCGTAAAACAGAGTGGTCATGAGAATTACGGACATAATCACACAAGATGAATTTGCTTGGTATTTTATCAACTTCTTCTCCCCACTACTTCTGTAGGAATTGAATAGGGGCAACAAATGAGAATTCAAATTTTGATCTTACGGTTTAAAGGGTTAAGCTAACTGCGGGTCGTGCGAAATGTCCTTTTCCCTTTTCAGTTTACTTTAATTTATTACTTGTTAACTTTTCATGTGTAATAAAGTTGTTGTTGTTGATATGATGACTGATCAGTAGGGGAATATCGAATATCATTTGGGGAATATCGTGAAAAGTTGCGCGTTCCAGCACGGCTCGCTACTAGCTGACAAGTTACTGACGCTCCAAATATTATAGTACAGTTATCCCAAACTTGTTATGTGAGTGCCTGTTAAGTTTTAATAAATCTAGTAGTATTGCTAACGTAGGGATTTGTTGGGTTCAAATCGAAAACGTAAAAAATTTGAATTGCGGTTCATGTGTCATTTTGAAGCGAGCCGGGCGTGTTGACTGCTAAAGTAAGTTCGTTTTTTTTGGTGTTTTTTTTCGTGCTTATATGACTTTATCAAGTCCAAGATTTAACTCAGCGGTCCTCATCCTCAAAGACCTCTTGTACATGATTGTTAACAGTTCAAGTTATTATATTCTGCATTATTTTAGGCGTGTTACTGTGAAGACCACGTTAGAAGAAAAGGTGTAAAGTACACTAGAGGGCAGCCGATTCCCTGCCCAAAATGTGGGTACGAAACTAAGGAAACTAAAGAGCTCAGCATGTCGAGTAAGTTAGCAATGTTTCCTTACTTGTCTTGTAGTTAGAACAGTTAAAGTGGTCAAATTTGACCTTCGGAAACTTATATGACATTGATTACCTTAGCCAGTCAGAATGCACGAAGATAATGTAATAAACCAATCAGAACTCGAAGCACCTTTGTGTAACAGGCGTCTTTGCCCCAGGCGCGGGAAATTTATGCAAATAGGTCACTTTATTTTCTGATTGTTTGAAAGGACCTCGCCAAAGTTTGTTGCCATTTGCGTTTTCTGACAGGAAAAAACCCAACTGATTTTAAAATGAATTTTGATACTCAATTAGCAACTCAATGTAAGTTGGAAAACGTAAATCTTGGCCGCTCTAACTTTGTTTTTCTCGTCCTTTTTTAGCTCGTAACTACGCCTATTCTCGCCATCGCAATGAAGTTGGTGATGATTACGATGACGACTATGATGTGTCGGGAGGTTTCAGTTACGGGACGAGTGGGTTCAGTTACGGGTCTGGTGGGTCTGGTTACGGGTCTAGCGCGTTCGCTTACGGAACAACTAGTTACGCAGACGATGCGGAAGAGGACGAAAGTGAAAGCGAAGAAGACGATGAAGATGAGAATGAGGACAAGGACGAAAATGGTGACAGTGGTCAAGAGGAAGAAGAGAACAACGAAGTAAGCGCGGTCAGTGAGGAGATATCTCAGCTGTCAGTCGTGGGGTCGTGAACTGAAAACGGTCTTTAAGTTCCACACTTTTCTTAACCCTTGAAGTCCCAATATCCACATACAAATTCTCCAAACTGATCTCCATACATTTCCTTCAAGAATTACTTGAGAGAGTTTGATAAAAGATCATGTCATTTTCCCTTTGGTGATCATTTTATTAATTCTCATAACTTTATCTTTTGACAATGTATGGATATTATTAGGAGAAAATTGTTGTTGGTCATTATTGGCACTTAAAGGGTTAATATAATTTCCTAGTCAGGAACCAAAAAACAAACTAAAAAGTGCATTAAGAATTGTAACAAATGATAAATTTCCAGGGCTATAGAGTGAATTAGATTCTAATTTTGTACAGCTGTACAACTAAACTAGCTTCTTTTAATACTAATCAAGTAATCGCTTCATCTTACGCCAAACGCGCAACTATTCCCTTGTTCAGAGCAGAGCACTTTGAATTTCTTTCTGCGATCCAAAGAGAAAACCAGATTACGTTCCCGCGAGAGTAAGAAGAATTGACGCTGCGATCAGTTCTCGCGCAAATGGCTGTACCTCGACGGCCATTGTATTTTCTTGAACGTTCACAAAAACTAATCTCGCAATCAAGTTCGCGTTAAAAACGTATTAACTAGATCTTTTTCAATCAAGCTCCAAAAGTTATCATTTGAGGTTTAAGCCTTAAACAATAAACAATAAAACAATAAAAACAGTAAATAACGTTACTTAGCTTTTTGAGCTTTCCCAATCTCTCTTGTTTGAATTTTCGCGTAAAACCAATTGTGACTAAACTTCTCGCACCAGTTTACCCGCGCATAATGAAGCCCATAATGCATTTCACGAGTCCAAAATTTCATTCGTAACCTGTGCTAACAGCCACTTGTCTTCAACGGTCATGTCTGTGTTTCGACCTCTTTTTTGTCCTCTGTGGACAGTCCAAATGTTCAGTCTTGTGTTTTCTCTTCTATAAAGGTCTCTTTTCACTACGGAAACGTCCACTATAGAGAGTTTAGTATTTTTGCGAATGTTTTAGAACAAAAGTAAGCGTTTACTTAATTTAACTCCCACGGGACTTGTTTGGAACACCACCAATATGGCCGCCATGACGTCATGCGAAAACACTCTATAGTGCGGCAAATACAAGATGAGGTTTTGTGAGCCCGCGAGACAAAGCAACCCCCACAAACCCTTTTCGGTTATTCATGTATGGGGACATATATTGTACCGATTTTACCTACTTAACTTATACCTTCACTCCTTCTACTTGGTTCCTTGTTGCCTTGTAGCTCTGTTCTCTGTTACCTTGTTGCTCTGTTACCTTGTTACCTTGTTACTCTGTTTCCTTGTTACCCTGTTACCTTGTTACTCTGTTACCCTGTTACCTTGTTACTGTTACCTTGATACCGTGTTACCCTGTTACCTTGTTACTCTGTTACCTTGTTACCCAGTTACCTTGTTACTCCGTTAACTTGTTACCCTGTTACCTTGTTACTAAAACCGCTGGACACAAAACCTTCCTGGGTCGACCTTACATTGTCACAACCCTATAGTGGGTCCATTCAAAAGCGCACGACGAACCCCTCTCCCTTTGCTATCTGGATTTTTTCCAACGGGTTATCCTATGAGTATTGGTCAAAGTTAGATATATCTTTCAGTTTTGTGTATTGCTTAAATGAGGTTTACGACGTCCGGCAGTGTTGTTGGAGTTATTCTTAGGGATTAACTAATGATTTTGACTAAAGATCTGAGCTTTCGGTTTTGTTTCTGTTTGGCCACAATTGGCCAAGAAACTTCTTCTATGATTGTGAATAATAAAAACAGAGTAAGTGATATTATGCGGCGGTGCCAAAGGCCTAAAGATAATTAATTAACTAACCAATATTTCCGGCGTTTTCGGCTTCCCTTCACTGAGCATTTTTCCGAAGTGGTTAAATCTTTTGTTTTAACAATATGTTCCTGTTCCTAACGTCTTAACAGAAAGTAAGGAATTTAAGATAAAGTAATCATTTGTAGTCGTCTATCTCCGATAACACTCTGCTGTTTATCTCTCTAGCCAATTGCTGTTCTCTAAATTGTCTTTAAAGTTTACAGAAGATGTTAAAGAACAAAAGAAAAACTGAAAACATTAAAAGGGAAGACAGAAATGCAGAGAGAAAAAAGAAAAGCAAAACATATAACACACCTTTGGGTTTTAGGCAGTGGTTTGCTTTAAGAAACCAAGGGAATGTGCCTGACGCGGTCTTGGACTTTAATATCTAAATTGCCATTGATCGAAGGCGAAGTTGAAAACAGGAAGAAAATTCTTTCATCCGCGTGATGGAATCTATTGTTTGTATTTAGGAGACCAAAACTAAAAGACATGCCATGAATACAAATAAGAAAAGAATACAGCTTTCTCTTTGGTTAATGATTGCTCAAGTTCATTTTCCTGGTTGCAGTAAGGGAACAGTATCCGTATTTTTCGTCCATTCAGCAACTGTCATGTTTGGTTAGAAGTTGGACTAGAACGAACCTTATCTCAAATATCGAAAAAAGGTAATTATGTAACGTAAGTTGTTTCACTGTTGCAACACTATTCAATGGAGCTGTTTCAGGCTGTCTAGTTCAGTGAGTTTAATATTGTCATTAACGCGTCTTAAGTCTTTAAGCCGTGAGGAACTTAACGTTAGCGAGGAATTTGCTTGTAACTGACAAAATCACAGTTTCGTGTCAAACAAATATCTTTCCCGAAGCGTCATATCAAACTGTTACAAACAACAAAAATGAACTTTGGAAAACTGTTAGACTAACAGCAAGTTTTTGAAAACCGAAACGTTGTCAGTAATCTTCTTTAAGTTTGTCAATTCCTGCCTCCTTTGATGACTTTTGCATTCGCTGTGTTATTTAGGTTCTTTTAGTTTTGAGCGGTCATTTTTATGTTTCACTCTTCTTTAATATTCTGGTATCCTTTTGCTCCGTACCATAAGGCGGATTGGGCGGTCTGGATGCAAACGGCAAAGCGGAAATTAAAAGCGTGATAGATGATACATCAAATCAGTTGCTTACTCAAGCCGTGGTTCTGCTAACCCATGAAGCCAGTAAGCTTGAGTCAGTTCCCCACTCGCATGCTTTCAATTGAAACATTGGTCGTTCATCGTGCAACAGAGGCTTTAGTTCTGTTGAAGTTGAACTCTGTTACCTATAAGCTACACATCTGAGTGCTATTCTAGGTTTCAGTGGATGGAATTATAATTGAATACGTAAGACATGTAAGAGAAAAGAACCCGGGGGGGTACTTTAGGAATTTCTGGGTAGGGATGTGCCGCTGGGACCCTGGAACCCTTAACCTATACCAGAGCTAGTTCAGCTGAATTTTGCTACCCTTTACTAGAGTAAACTCCCCAAATCCCCCTATCCTAGAGTAGCTGTTTACCTAGTCTAGATAAAATCTTCAACCAACTGATCAGTTTCCTGAAAAATGATACCCTATTCTAGACCCAAGCGCTCTGATTTATACACCCTATCCTAGAGTAAACTGCTTGAAAACCATACCCTTCACAGCGGCACATACCTATATAGCCCATATATGGCATTACCCCCCCCCCGGGAAAAGAACATTAAGCACATTAGTTCCCCTTAAGGAATTAAGGGTTACGTTAAGAAAAAGGGATATATATAAAAATCGGCCATGCCACGAATTCTTCCAAACAATTTTCAAAAGTATGCGTGGAATGTTTTCAATATTTCTCAGTCTACTCCTCTGTACAAGATAGCGTTTGCGCCAGCACGAAAACCATGTAGGATACAGCTTCTGTTCACACACGAGTAGGCTACGAGTAGTCCCCCATTTTTCCTCAGGGATAGTAGAGCGAGAAAAATGCGAGCGCGCGTGAAAATCACCCCACGCGAGAAAAGGCGACACGCGACTACTCGTAGTCTACACACGAGCTGTAACGAAGCAAAGCGGTGCCACACCGATTTGAAAGTGGATCATCACATATTGGTTAGGTCAACAACTCCCGATATTGTTGGGTTTTTTTGCGTCAGTGGACGTAGCTAAAAGTTTGATCGGTTTCAAACTTTGCGCAATAACTCCCAACAACAGGCAAGAACATGGAACAGGGTGTGCAAACAGACGCCTGGGGTGTAGCCAGCCCATAGACCTGTAGGCCCGGGCCTACAAATTTTTGGTTTGATCAGTCTACTGCTTGTAATAAATTATGCGTTGTTGGTGTGAGCTAAAAGGCTTAAGAGCTCAAAGTGTTGGGGAGCACAACGCGGATTAATCATGCGTGCAATTTTCAGGATATGTGGAAGTGAAAGTCAGCCAGGCCTAGAACTAGTCGAAAAGCTGGCTACGCCCCTGGACGCAACATGTAACATCCAACGATGTTGGGAGTTGTTGGCCAACAACGTTGCGTCCGTTTGCACGGGGCTTGATTGCATGATACTCTTTTGCGTAGTTGATCATGACAAACTGATGTTCATACCATATCGAATAGCTTTTCATGTAGAAAAGAAAATCCATCCGGTATAGTGTAAACACAGCTTACAAAGTGGTGAGGGATGAAATAATGAGATAAGAGGCTTGGTTTAGTTTAGAGCTTTTTCACACGACGTCACATCCGGAGTCCCAGAACAATGAAACGGCAGCCATGTTGGTGTCTCAAACCGATGCTGTAAAAGCTTCTTTTTGGTTACAGTGCACAAGGGATATCAATGTGGTCATATAACTTGAACTCGCTAACCTCTGCTGTTAATCTCTGTAGCCAATTCAGAATTGTTATTCTTTTTCGTTTTAACTGTACACAATATTCTGAATAAAGAACAACGAAAACAAAACTGGCGATAAACAACAACAGCAACAACAACAAAAACAGACACCGGGTTCCAGGCGGTGCTTTACTGTAAGAATACTAAGTACATATAGTACATAATGTGCTTGTCGTGCTTTTGGAGACTAAAATCTGAGTTTATTGTCAACGATGGAAGGCGAAGTTGTAAACAGGAAGAACATTCGATCATCCGGGTTAATTATGAATTCTTTGTTTTTTACGTAATAGACAAACAAAAAAACTTTGTTTAAAATGCATTCCGACGCAGACGTTAATCGGTCTTTGTCACGCGATCCCTGCTGAACTTTCCGCTCACAGAGTTCCGTTTTCTATTTTCTGGAAAGTCTTGACTTTGACCAACAATCCTTTCATGGAACCGTCGATGATGACATAAAAACAAGGCAAACACTGTTCTCCGCCAAATGTTTTTTTTTTCTGGACCCAGTCACTTCGGAGAAAACTATCAAATCTTTCATAAAATATTATTTACATAAGAAAAGCCGAGCTTATACACTATACACGTTCAGGGGTCAGATTCTACGAAAATGACCTCGGGCGATATCTCCAAAACTGAGCAGCAGATTTTCAAAGTTCCGTGAACATGGTTGTTCATTAAAATGTTCCAAATAGTTTGCAGTACTCATTCAAGACTTGCATCAGACAAAACCAGCAATGCAACT